GTTTTTGTTATTTGAATTTTTGAAAAGACGACACGAAAGAGTTTTGAAAAAATCGGACAAAAAGCAGTTGCCATTTTTTGCCCAAAATACAAAATATTGTGTACGTATACAAAATATTTAAACTGGAAAATATAGACATGAAAAAAAAGTCAAAATATTAGAAAATTGAAAATATTACACAGAAAATTTCTTAATTCTAAACAGCTTTGTTTAGAATTAAGAAAAAAACGTGTTTAAAAATATTAGAAAATAGGAAATATTGAATACATACACAAATATGAGGACTAAAATAACAGAAAAATAATACAGCATGTGAGCCAAAAAAAAGAAAATATTAGATGGAAATATGTGAAAATACTTGAGGATTAAATAGCACAATATTAGATGAAAAATACTGAAATATTAGGAGAAAAAAATGTTATATTAAATTATTACAATTAGGAAATTATACTAAATTATTAGAGAAAATATTGACCATGGCCTTGTTCACAAAATGTTTTTTTTTGTCTCCCCATCACGCTGTACATTTAAGCAGACATTCTTTCAGTAAAATGACAGGCAAAAACTGCACAAGTGTACAGTCCAAAAGTGGCCATGCGTCGCGTTACGACACAAAGCTCTTTGTGTCCACTTGTGAGCGCATCCATTGTGTGGCGTGCAGTGAGGTCAGCCTCGTTTGTTTCGGAGTCCCTTTGTCTTCGTCGCTTTGGCCGCGTGTGTGCCCGCCGTGCGTGGAGGAGGAAAAAGCAAAACGTTTCTCTATTGATGTGTCACCAAACGCATCCTGACAGGATGCGGCATTCTGCTCACATCCAAGGGGAAAGGGCGGGGGGGAGGATTGGGGTACCTCTTTAGGATGCATCCAACGTGACACTCGGGCCTCCTTTTGTTTTGGCTCGGTGTTTCACTTTGCACTGATGACGAGGTGGCAAATCACCGGCGTCACGCTAATCACGAAATTGCGATAAGAACCGGGGCGTGCTGGAGCCTATCTCAGCTAATTTATTTCTTTAATTTTTCAATCTGTGGAAATAATATCAGAAAACTACAATAATTTTTCAAAGTATAAATACACGACGACAGAAAAAAACCCCAGAAATGTTAGGGGTGGCGCAAAACGATTAGAGATGTCACGATTGCATTTTTTTTTTTTTTGCACCCAAGTGCGAGTCATTTGGTTTTGAGTATGTGCTCGATCTGTTACGTCAGAAATGCAATACAAAAGGGAAAAAAAGCGCATCTGAATTTTCGTCAAGATCTTGTTTGTGAACATTTTTCAACAAAATGTATCCCACGATGATAACTTTTTATACAGCTAGATTTCGGCATTGGTACAAATTAAAGAAATAAAATGTTTGAAATCTTACTCTAGAAATTAAGAAAATTTAAAAATGTGATCTTTTTCACGCCAGTCAGCGGTATTTAACTTAAGTACATACAATACAATACCTTTGCACTTACGAACCGTTTTAAAAAATTTTTATTGAATTTATGTGCAAGATATTTTAAGTAGCATTTAAGTACAGATTATTTTTCCTCCTATTTAAATGCACAAGTGCTCAAGTTGATTGGAATTTGTCAAGTCAATGCTTGGCTGTGTAAACGCACCCTCCGAAGAGGATGTCAGCTAGCAGCAAAATGCCTTGCATCTGTGCTCCCTTCCAACGCCTGCGCCGATGGGGGGGGGCTGGCTATCGTATGCAATCCATACAATTTCTGCCACCACGGCTACTCCTACAAACGGAATGCTACAGCTTACCACACCCACTGGCAGGCACTACTCATTGGCTCGAATAAGAAACAAAGGCGAAGAAACGTGCTGTATGGTCCCTGCGTTCAAAGCGCAGCATGAAGCAACGTGTACTGACAGGCATAAATATGCCAGGGCTACTACAAGGAATCCAAAATAGAACGCTTCCTTCCGAAGAGGACGTACTTTTTCCTGCATGTTTCTTACGTTACAAGCAATTTGAGCGTGAGCCCTTAGCAGAAATTCATTAATTAGATGTTAATTTGATGTATTATATATGAACTTTTTTTTAAGCACTGCATGAATCAAGAACATTAAGCCTCAAGAGTTGCATTTTAAAGTAGTGCTCAAAATACAACAAAAGAACACCAAAACCAAGGGTGGGGAGGGGAAAAAAGTGAAACAAAAACTTGGGAAGTGAGAGTACCACTCAGCCTTATTTTAAGGTATTGTGTCGTCATGGAGGCTGCCGATGCCACTCATACACCCCCCTGCCCCCATTGATGAAACATCTGCGTCCGAAAGAAATATCTTCATCCAAAAGATTTTGTCATTGTATTCAATGACATGTTATACATCCAAAGTGTGACAGGTATCAGTGAGTACTCAAAGAGTGAATACTTATACAGGTAGTGGTGTGAAAAGGAAAATATCTTAAGAAAATTAAGCGAGATTCAAATGAAAGTCCAGTTTCAGTTCAGTTGTATTTCCCTTTTACACACAATTATTCTTTTAAAAATGTCTTATATTTAAGAGTTTGGTTTTTAAGTACAATTTATTTGTGTGAATCAATTTCAATGAAATAATTTAAGTTGAGATTTTCTATTTCCCCAATCTTTTGGGGCAGTGTGAATGAACATGGAGGCCTACTACGCTACTGTATTGTACTATTTGCCTCCCCTTTTTTAGTACTCTGAGACCCAAGTATTTTTTATTTTTTTTCTTATTTGATGTAAAACTTTGGGGATCACACCACTCGAGGAATTTTAATTGTTAATGGGGAAATTCTGAATAAAAAGAAAATAGACTAGCTTGTTTAATTTAAGCTAATTAGCGCGAAATGAGCTTCCGTCCAAATAGTAGTAAAATAAAACCAAGTCGTGATCTGGAATGTCGGTCTTACGTAATGGCAGCGTCAACGTAAACGAATATACGTGCGCACCGACAAATACGCAGGTAAACCTTTACGTTACGAACAAATTCGGCCCCACGGCTAGCCAGCGAGACGTTTGCGATGCAAGGTGACGTTTAGGTAGAGCTCGTACCTTTTGGTGTTTCCGGGCGGTGCTCCTCCGAACCCTCGGTTAAGCCAACATTTTTGATGCTTAACTTGGTTTAAAGGGACACGCCGCCCCACAAAACCCCTCCAGTATGTCACGGGTGGTTATATTCTGCTTCTAACTGTGCGATTCAGCTCAGACAAGGAGGAAACATCAGCCTTTCCTGGTCGGGGAAAGTTCCGATGTAAATTCGTCACGGGACCTGAAGGCAACAGGCGTGTGTGGGCCACCTTGAATGCGCTTTTCTTTTTCCGGTTGTTACATTCAAAACAAAACAAAGAAATGTGTGAAGTTGCGAGTAAACAACCACAGAAGCCGAAGAATATTAAGCTTATTAAATAAACAATGTGCGAATTGTTTGCAATGTGCCTTGTAAACATTGCAAACGTGAAAAGTCGAGGACACTCACTTGAAGCGTTTACATTTTTTACACGGCTTTCCGGTTGTACGTACTTTGCTTGACACACTTTACACAGCTTGATGACTCAAAAATGCAGTCGAGTCGGAAAAAAATCTTAAACAGCGCCACTTACAGGCTAAATTATTTAAATTTAGATTGAGTACAAAAACGCTAAAACTCAATTTGAATGTACAGTATTTGAAGTTATAGCTAACTAATATAATGCAAAACAAACACAAATATTTAAAAGAAAACAAAAATGTAGGGCAAAACTCAAAAATATTGGGGGAAAAATTAAATATGAGGCAAAAATATGAGATGAAAAGTACTCGTACGTGTGGCAAAAAACACAATTATTGGATGGAAAATACACAAAAATTAGAAAAATACTGGATGAAAAACACAAAAATATTAGTCATGAAAAACAAAAGTATTTGATATGAAATGCACATACACTAGTAGGGACTATTTTGTCCACTTGGTGGCAACAAATACCTTACAGAACAGCAGTGGAAATGCAAGCAATTAAATTATTCAAAACAATTTCTTCATTTCGTACCGTTTCTCTGGGTTGATCAGCTTTCAGTACATTCGATTCTCTCTAATCAGATTTTAGTTGCCATGTCAATCTAATGTGCCCAAGGCCTTCAAAATTAATAGTGCAGTCTCTGATTTGCCCCAAATAAAGTAAAGATAGTCTGGTACCCCAGCCGCTGGGGGGCAGTGCCCTCCCCTGGGGGTGCACTGTTCCCCAGTGCCGGTCCCAAGCCCGGAGAAATGGGGAGGGTTGCGTCAGGAATGGCATCCGGCGTAAAACTTTTGCCAGGACGACCATGCGAGTTGGTAGGGCGGTTTACAGGGGCGGATGGAAATTACTGACTCGCTGTGGCGACCCCTGAATAGGGATGTGCCGAAAGGAGAAGAAGAAGAAAGTAAAGATAGTCTGGTCGGCTTTTCCTGACATTTTTTTCACAGAAATTTGCAGGTTTTGTGCCTGCTCCTACAATGTTTCACTGTCGGTTTGATGATCTTTTGGTCATGGGTAGTGTTGAGTTTTGTCAACACATTTTGTCATTTCTGTTTGGGAGATGTCAAGTGTGCTTTTTGCAAAATTGATAGAACGGCGAGACTGTGGGATTAACGCCTTAAATGGCAACTGCCAGCAGAAAATTAATTATGTGGTTGTGTCAACCCCTTGTAGGGGCCCTCTCAGCGCCCCCACAACCGAGTTTTGGGTCACTGGTTCCAGCATGAAAGAGCCATTCTGCCCCACTTGTGACAGGAGCACTTGTAAGCTTCCTCAAATTTTCCAACAATCAGGTGACTCTTCCCCCTGAACACTTTCCACCAATCAAACGCGAGCCTCTCTTGGTTCTTGACTAATCAGACGCGAGTCTCTTCTCGTTTCTGACCAATCGCAGGCGAGGCCGCCCCGTGCAGGGGGTTGAGCGCGAGAATCGGCGGGATGGACAAATATCACATCATCGAATCAAGTGAGCCGAGAACGTCCGCACGGCGAGGAACGAGAGTAAAATAATCGCGTTGTTTTTATTGTTTGTTGCCGTTTTAGATAATTTACGTTGTGGGAGTGTTTCTCCGAAAACACGAGGGACGACGCGGACGAAGTAGCAGTGTTCTTCGGATGGATGTTACCTTTCCATACGCTGGCTTTTCATGGGGAGAAAGTAAGAATGACGACTCGGTTAGCAAGATGGCTAGCCGAATAATGCTAACGAGATCCGGAAAAGAGCACCGATGAACACTTCTATGGATGAACGTCCACTCGCGTGGAATTTGAATGATCTGAAGAGCAACAACACGAAGAAGAGGTCCACGCAACCCCGCGGCTGTCATGGACACCGTGAGGTCGCCTCGCTGGTGGGTAGCGTCACTGCCTTTGATACGTCACTCAACGTGTCTGACGTTTCTCTTTTATCTCAGCACTTAACTTATTTGAGTTATTTATATTTTATTGCATCATTGAAAAGCGGTTGTATCGCCACACATTTCGAGTGGCATTTGAGCAGTGAATGTTTGTTTTTGTTGTCATTTATAATTTATTCATTTGTTACTAACATTGTACATTATTCATTTTGTTTTTGATTGAAAAAATATTAAAGGAGAAATTATAAGTCGTAAATGTAAATAGTTATTAATTTCGGAATATACAGCTTGTAAAGTTACCCATATTGGGATATAAAATGTTGTGTATTGCACACTCAATGTGACTTTACAATAACAACACGTCATCATCAGGGCTACGCTTGTTTGTGTTTTTGGACAGAAAAGAAAATGGCTGACAAATAATCAAGACCAATAATTGCACTTATAATGATTCTGCCCACATGAAACCCTCATCTTGTGTGAAAATACCCTTTCGAAAGGAGTTGCATCATGTTTCACATTGACATTTATTGCACATAAACCGATAGAAAATGTGACTTCATTAAAACAAACATGAATGAAACAGCACTTGGACTGAAAGCTGTGAGCCAAAACAAGCATTTTATTCAATGAAATTAATTTACAACCCTTTTAGCCATATGATGTTAATATTTGAACACAAACTGGACAGGGATTCGCCACACCCCAGCTTACCTCTGGAGGTGAAAGAGCCCGTTGATGGCTCGAGATTGCCCCCCCTGCACCGTCATCCCCCGTTCCTGCTTATGGCACTGACAAAAGCAGCTCCTGCCAAAATCCAAGTGACTCACTCGAGTTTCCACAGTGATGAAGAACTTTGGAGCAAATGGTGTTTTCCCTCCAAACATATTGGGCGAAAAATAAAAATATGGATCAAATATACACAAACATTAGACCAAAAAAAAAAAAAAAAAAGCACAAGTATTAGCCGGAAAAGTACACGAGGAAGGATATATAAAAAATTGGATGGGAAAATATTTTAAATATAGACTGTTTGTCCATGTGTGCAGCCACGACGAGGACGAAGAGCTGCACTCCACAGATCCCGACACTAAAGAGAGAAGCAAAGACAAGAAGGTTTTGTGCAAAGTCAAGTGGTCCCGCGACGAGGTAAGAACCGCACACTTCACTCTCAAGGTGAGCCTGTGCTTCCAAAGGAAGTTGAACTGATTTTTGTTGTTGTTGATCAAGGACGAAAAGCTGAAAAAGTTGGTGGAGCAACATGGCACAGACTCTTGGAAATTATTATCCAACTATTTTCCCGTAAGTGTGCCCTGTCACGACGTGCTTGATGTAAGATGCTTGGAAAACCTTTCACAGTGAGCATCCATACTTTTAGATGCTACTGGATGAGTGAGTGATAGGTAGAAAGAGTAGGAAACAGGTCAGAAGTTCATAGGTAGCGAATTTGGGAGATGGCGAACCGCAGTATCTACTTCCCTTCCGGCCTCGCCATGGTGCACTTCCTACAATAATTACCTCCTAAGCGTGGTGATAGGTTTTTTTTTTTTTTTTTTTGGCAGTAGGGGTGGTGATGAGAGCTCTGTTTCCACATCGGTAATGAGGTGTCTCCCTCGAATGTCAGGGTAGGACAGATGGCCAGTGTCAGCACCGCTGGCAGAAGGTGCTCAACCCCAAGCTGGTGAAAGGCCCATGGACAAAGGAGGAGGATCAGAAGGTAAGAGGATCTGGGAGTGTACTGTGTGGCACACACATTGCCGGTAAGCGATAGTGGGGGGGACAGAAGGGAGAGTCGGCGCCCATTTTTTTTTTTTTTTTTTTTACATCCCGCCAAAATAAAAATGTTCTTGGCTCGAGCCTGTGGCGCCTGTTCCAAAGGCTCCACTACATCATCGCTAATAAAAACACCAAACAAACTGGCTGCTTTTCAGCCCTTTTCCTGAAGGGAGGTGCCCCCCCTCTGTGAGATGAACAATGCCCTCCTTGAGTGAATCCGGGGTTTCACCGTACAGTAAATCGATTGTTCCGAGCAGTGGGGCCTTTTTTGCGCAGGTGATCGACTTGGTGCACAAGTACGGCCCCAAGCGCTGGTCGGTGATCGCCAAGCACCTCCAGGGCCGCATCGGCAAGCAGTGCCGCGAACGCTGGCACAACCACCTCAACCCCGAGGTGAAGAAGTCGTCGTGGACGCAGGAGGAAGATCGCATCATCTACGAGGCCCACAAGCGACTGGGCAACCGTTGGGCCGAGATCTCCAAACTCCTTCCCGGACGGTAATTCCCCACTAAGTTGAAAAATCCAAGCTTCCAAGGCGTCTGATGTCAACAGGAGGCTGTGTAAACACATTGACTGACCCAAGTGCACACACGGTATCTGTGTAGGCTAAGGACATGCACACACTGGTGGCTTACACGACTGTTTGTTTTTCTAGCGGCAAAAAAAAAAAAATCCGACATTGAATCAACACTATTTTCACACTGAACTTGAAGGCAAAGACACAAGGGTCCTCAAGGGAAGATTAAATGATTACAAATGCCTAAACTGGAACATTTCCAAGTTCTTAAAGGTGATTTGCCGCGTGGAATGTTCCTATGTCTTCATGTCAAAGCAACAACGGGGTCAATGTGTTTTTAACAGGACGGACAACTCCATCAAGAACCACTGGAATTCCACCATGAGGCGCAAAGTGGAGCACGAGGGCTACCTGCAGGATGCCGGCGCCAAGACGGCCACGTCCTCCCACGGCAGCGGTGTCAAGAGGCGCCATCACTCGCCGTGTCCTCCTCCGAGGCAGGGCGAGCCGCGGCGCTGCGATCGCAGCCCCCTGCGCCCCGTGACGGCACCCAACCAGGTCCACGTTGACTCTGGACTCCATTTGGATTGCGCTCACTTGTCGCACTTATTTACCGTTGCCGAATTTTTATTTATTTATTTATTTATTTTGTAGATGCCAGGCTATCAGTTTGATCCTCAACGGCGCCACCTGATGGACACTTCGGGTTTCATTCAGGTGACTTTCACTATTTAAATGGGTTTACAGGTAGATACAAGTGGTTGGGGCCTGACTGATTAATCAACCGGTGGATATTACGCCGTTTTAAAATAATAAACATTCATACTCGGGCTGAGCTGCGGTAAAAACAAACACTAAAGGACAATCAAATGGAAAACAGTCAAATGTTATGGCTTAATTTAATTTCTTTCTTGTTGTGTTCACCTAGGGACCCAAAAAACAATTTTTTATTCATTATATCATGCATCCTTTTTTCAGATTTTTTATTATTTTTAAATAATCGTCTGATTAATCAGTTATTCTGCCAAACGTCAAAATCAACATTGGCTTTAAAAAAATAATAATAATAATCCATCGCGGTCTACTTGTTTAGCCTGAAATATGGTAGCAGTAGTCACCACACTGGTACGTCACAACCATCGAAATTCAGGAACGCTCACTCACAGATACATTTTGGGAAGCAAGATTTACTCGATTTACTTCAAGTCAACGAGTGTGCTTTTTTTTCCCGCAAGTGTAACTTTTGGCTTGGGTGTTCAATTTCATGCTTGAACGGTGGACCGGGTTTACAAAGGACCACCTATTTGTACGCAAGATACTAAAACGACTTTTACTGCACTGACTCCTCTTTCTGTATCCTTTCATTTACGGACACTGCCCGTGTTCGTTCTGTCACTGCGGATTTCAAATGAAACCTTTTGAACGTACTAACAGGCATACGCCGCCTCCTTCTCCTGTGTCATATTTGTCCTCGTCAAATTTGTTTTGGTGTTGTGGTCTCCTGCTCTTCCTAACAACCTTCCTTTCCCCTCCCGCTGACCCCCCCGGTTGCAGCCATCCTTCCCGGATGATCCCGACAGAGAGCAAAGAATTAAGGAACTCGAGCTGCTGCTTATGTCAGCCGAGAGCGAAGTACATCGCAGAGGTCCATGTGTAAGCTCAGCACACCGCCCCCCCCACTCGTTGGGAGTTAGCGAGCTAGCATAAGCCTGCGTGCCTGCTTTTGCATGTGTGTGACATCCATACTCTGGGGGGGGAAGAGAATTTCTTCAAATCTATGTCACTTTTTGCACTATGTAAAAATATGAGTGGAGCAGGGATTTTTTTTTTTTGGTTTGTTTTTTTGCGCTCTAGTGCAGTGGTTCTTAACCAGGGTTCGATCAATCAGTCTCAGGGGCCTCTGCAATGGAGGTTAAGACACACCCGACTCAACATGTCATTTAGTAATGACACACCAGCTTGGCCATCACTGGCTGATTCATTTTGTGCACAATTTAAAAAATATATACTTAATTGTGTTTACTTTTTTCTGTTTTTAATAATGACTTGAATTTGTAAAAAAAAAAATAAAAAAATATATTTTTATTTTTCACAAATGAAGATTAAGAACCACTGCTCGAGTGTTTCTCTAGCAGCTACCTTTCCCATCTTGCTACTCATCATGACTGGCCTTAAGCTACACTTTGTTAGTCCCCCCCACACCCACCGCCATCATTTAGGATCCATCTTAGTCCTCTTCGCATCTATCGGAATCATTTTCGCCAATTGCCGCCTCATTTTCCGCATCACTTCCATCATCTTCCCAGAGCTTGGAGCAGTATTCGGCCTGGTCAGACGGCATGCCTGATACGGCGAGCAGCGACCTGGAGGTGCGGGCCGACGGGCGGTCCTGGTCAGAGCCAGAGAACTCGCGAGGAACCCCCGGCCAGCTTCCCGTGTCGCCCACCAAGTTGTTGGCTGTGGAGGCCAGCACGGTGCTGTCCACCCTGCAGACCATACGCGACTTTGCGGAGACCATGGAGCTCATTGATTCGGTGAGGAAGAAAAAAAAAAAAAGACTTTAACATTCACTCCCATTGACGTCTATAGACGTCAAAGATCCATTTGAACCGGGCTTGCGGTGGGTTTGTATTTATTTTAGATGGCGCCAATGAATCAACAGTTGTGCATTCCGGTTATCTCGCTTACATCGAGATCAACAAACATATTCTGAACTATAATCCATGTGTCATCCATGTTTGTGAAATATATGACAATAGTGCTAATGAAAGGTGAGTTTGCAGACTGTTGTAATATTCTTTAAGTATAATTGATTTTTTTAAAAAAAAAAGAAAATATATATATTTATTCGAATAGAATACTGAAATATTTGAATTAGATATATTTCGACATAAATATTTGGAAAGGTACAAAGACTATTCAACAAAATATACTAAGCTATAAGATGAAAAATAGAGCTAAAATGCAAAAATATCTGACACCAAATTATTACGATAATTTCAAACATTCAAGGGACAAATTGTCGCCAAAAATGCATTCTAAAAGTAAAGAAATGCTCGAATAAAATATTTGGCATCATATAAACTTTGGAAAATAATGGAAAATATTAAATAGAAAAATGCATAACTATCACTTCCTGTTTTAAAATACTCTCAACAATTCAATGTTGGGACAGCACCTAGCGAAGATTTTGTCTCCTCTCCCTGCAGAAATAAGCTTAGAATTGTTTTCCTCTGAATATTTTGAATGTATTAAAAATGGACCGTAGATGTGTTTTGCCATTCAGGACCCGGCGGCGTGGAGCGACGTGGCCACTTTCGACCTCTCCGAGACGGCAGCGGCGCCCCAGCACGAACAGGGCCCCTTCGCCCCGCTCCTTCAGGAGCGGAAGAAGGAGAACGACGGGTAAGTTGACGCGCACGTCGACGGTACCTCGACGTCGTAAGGTTGTTTTAGTGAGCGAACACTCACGAAAATAGCTCAAGCTAAATTTGAAAACTCATTTTTTGCTCACGAAATTTTAAAATACAAACAAAAATGCTTTTCAAAAAAATAAATGAAACTACATTTACACTTATATCACACTTGCCAAATACTCCACGTATTATAAAACGAATACAAAAGCAAAATAAAGCTCAAGTGCTTTCAGAAATATAAAAACAAACTTGCTCTAAATGTGAATTAAAACTCAACGAATTTACAAAAAAAAAAAGACAAAACAAAAGAAAAACTAACAAAAAGTCCAAAACTATTATAACCCTGTAACATTGGTGCTAATTCTGATTAGCCCGTTAGGGAGTTTCACATTATGTTAGCATTAAGCTAACTGACTTTCACACACCCCCCCAAAAAATATTTGAGTTAACATGTTGGTGCTTACCTGCACAATGTTTAATAAGTTTGTTTTAGGTGTCATATTTATACCAAAAAAAATTTTTTTTGATGTGGAGTCACTTGTGTTGCTTTTCTTTTCGCGCCTAAACATACAACCCTAATATTTACATCGACTGTACAGTATATACTGAATTATTTTAGTTCTAGGACACCCAAGTTTCGTAAAACGGTGATGATTCCAACACCGAGGACGCCGACGCCCTTCAAGAAAGCTTTGGCGGCGCAGGAGAAAATGCACGGCCCGCTAAAGATGGAAGTAAGAGTCACCAATATCAATAACAGCCGCGATATACTAATGGACCCCAAAAAAAAAGGCAATTAATAAATTAAAGTTGAGTACATAGGAATTAATTGATGTTTTCGTTGGTATTTGTATCCTTCAGCCGCAGCCATTAGCTTTTCTGGAAGAAGACATTCGCGAGGTTCTGAAGCAGGAAACCGGGGCCGACATCTTTAATAGGGTGGCCATCTTGCAGCCCGACTACAGAGCGTGGAAACAAAATGTACAACGCAAGCACTCAGAGAAAACACACTCTATGCTGGCGGTATTCTGTCCTTTCATCCTTGTGTACATCTATCTTTATTTTCAGATGGACGCCCCGGCTCGAAAAGTGCGCAAATCTCTGGTACTGGACCCCTGGGGGAAAGACTCTCTCAGTGTGCAGCTGTTCCAAGATCAACACAATGACGCACAAGTGAATCAAAGCTCTTCATCAATTCTGCCTTGATGTAGTTGACAATGCTCAGTTTGAAATTGACACCAGAGTTTGAAAGGCTCGGAAAATGCTCGAGCAACATCGCCTGAACTGAACGGAACAGGATGTTGATCATAATTGTTGTACTCCAGGTTCCCGATGTATCGCCTGAACTGAACGGAACAGTATGTTGTTGATCATAATTGTTGTACTCCAGGTTCCCGATGAGAGTCTCCTGTCCAGCTCCTCCCTGAGCTCCCCGATCTCCGAGGTGGAGCAGCAGCATGAGGAGGAGGTGGCGGCGGCAGAGAAGGAGGAAGGCGGACACCCTTTGACGGAGCACAAGGAGACGCCTTCAGTGGCGCTGCAACACCCTCACCGCCTCATCGAGAAGAAAACTCACAGGGTGGCTAAACAGGTGCTTGATATTCAGCTATATTCAAAAACCGACAGTGCGGCGTATAATCCGATGCGCCTTATACAGTCAAACCTCGGTTTTCAAACGTCTCGGTTCTCAACCAATTCGGTTTTCAACCAAGAATTTCGAGTTTTTTATGCCTCGGATGACGAACAAATTTCGGTTCTCGAACGAACTGAGCGCACTTGAATGCACCATTTGACTCCTCTCGCCTTCCTTACACGAGGAAGTGACGCTCCCTCGTGTTGCTTTCCATTGTGAGCAGACGTGTTCAGTAAACATTTTTATTTTAAAAATAGCGTGGTTTCGGTTTTCGAACAATTTCGGTTTTCAAACAGCCTTCTGGAGCGGATTATGGACGAAAACTGAGGTTTGGCTGTATATGGATCAATATTCACATTTCTAGTATTTTAAATGTTTGGTCATAATGCTCGGTTACAGCTGCAGCGATTGTGAAAGCTCGATATATAAATAAAGCTGTATTGTATTCCCTTTAGCGTAGTTCCATCTAGTGGATGCATAATGCAACCGCTTCCAATATTGTAGCTTCTATTCTGTGCGCCTTATGATGCGGTGCGACCTATATATGAAAACAGTTTTAAAATAGGCTGTTCATTGAAGGTGTGCCTTATACTCCGAAGAGCCTTATCGTGCGGAAAATACGATGTGTGTGTCCACTAAAAATCCCGATACAGTCATTAGGAAGTTGGGAATATGTGACCGATTGCAATGTTGCCTGATGTCTTCCCCTACTAACACATGCCGACTGGACCCGTCCCGCAGGTGAGCGAGTGGGAAACGGTGGTCTACGGAAAAACGGAGGACCAGCTGACCATGACGGAGCAGGCCCGCCAGTACCTGAACCAGTACCCGTTGGCTGGTGGCTCCACCCCCAGGGCCCTTGTCCTTTAAGAAGACCTTCAAGAACCCGTCCCAATCCCCTTTGCAGGTCCTCTTTTCCAAATCCTGTAAGAGTCAATCCAACGTCTTTTCTATTGGGGTTTCTGGGTTTTTTTGTGTAGTTTTTTATCAGACCCGAGTACTTGACTTTTGAGCTTCACTCCTCTCTAGGGCCCGATCGATTATTGTAAAATCGTGGTTTGGGAGGAAGACAAAGCATCTCAAATTGAGCGGGGGTGGTATTTTAGAGGGGGCTGGGTAAGAAATGAACATTTTTTTATGTGTATTTTACATGGATTTTTTATGAGAAGTGGACAGCATTCGAATGTCCTCCCCACACCCCCCGCCCAAAAAAAAAAACATACTTTTAAACATTTTTAGATATAGTTTTTTTCTGGCTGATTAATCGCATATCTGATTTTTTTGTGTCAAATATTGGAAATTGGCATTTGTCTTAAAAAAAGAAATATATATATTTTTTTAAATCACCTCGATCGGGCCTGACTGCTCTCAGTGTCAGTCATTGTGAAACACTAACCCGGTTTCAATGGAGGTCCCGCAAAATTGCTTCATCAGAGCCGTGACGCTCAATAAGGCATCAAGGCAAGATATTGGGGGGGAGGCGGGGTTGAGAGG